CGCTGACTTGGTGTACCAGAAACTGTAGCATCTCCTGGCCCGGATATGATTCAATCTGCTATAGTGAGTGAAACAGCTTCAATGTTAAGAACACCGCTTAGTGTGATGTTCTCACAATCGCTAAGCAGAGGCAAACTACCAGACATTTGGAAGCTGGCTCACATCACATCAATTTTCGAAGGATGTAGACTCAGCGAAACTTCGAGCTACCAACCTTCAAAAATTATGGAGTCCTTGATATGTGACGGTATGCACGACTATTTATTATCCTTAAACTTCTTTCAACGCAACAGCGCGGTTTCAGAAAACATCACTCTTGTATAACCAACCTGCTGACTGCGGTGGACAAATGGACAACCAACTTTGATCGCAAGGGAAAGTTTGACGTCATTTACCTTGACTTCTCAAAAGCTTTTGATAGGATCAACCATGTATGTCTTATCAATAAGCTCAAACCATTAGATATCGGATCCCTATCAATTGACTGGCTCGCTTCGTATCTAAAAACTCGACATTTGAAGGTCAGGGTTAACTTTTCTTTCTCTCAGGCTATAGAATTCTCTAATGGGGTCCTCCAGGGTTCAGCACAAGGGCTTCTTCTTCTCTTGATTTATATAAACGATCTTCCACGACAGGTATCGTCTGACTTACTACTTTTTGTTGGTGATGTGAAACGTTGGAGAGATACGCAACCAATAGGATATGCTGGCACTTCAGGAGGATCTGACTCGACTTGGAAGTTGGGCAGATGACAACGGACTTACGCTTAACACCTCAAAGTGTAAAGTAGTCCATCTGAGACATGTTGCAGACTACAGTTACAACTTAGGAAACTCCTCTCTAGGAGTATCCCAAGTTGAAAAAGATTTAGGAGTGCTGGTGTCCTACGATTTGAAGTCTTACGCTAACTGTGACAAAAATGCCTTTCAAGCGAATCTTGCACTGGCAACATTGAAACCTATTTTTGGTCAGTTTGACGGGAGAACGTTCCACATAATCTTCAACAGTTTCATGCGTCCCCATTTAGATTATGGAAAAATAGTATTTCCTCTCTCACTCCAAAAGGATAAGAACACTCTGGAGCGTATCCAAAGGCGAGGCACGAAATCAGTTCGGGGACTCAAATCCAAGCCTTATGAAGAGCGCCTCCATTCACTAAACTTTTACCCATTATAGTAAAGGCGTCTTATAGGTGACCTTTTAATGGATCACAGTGTCCTTAACACTTCTGGACATCCCTTTAAGCACCTACTTAAGTTTAGCTCCAACACAAACCTTAGGGGTAACGCCCAGAAACTGGAAATACAACATAGCAGAACGGACTTTGGACACGACTTCTACTCCTTAAGAGTAGTCAAACGCTTCCCAGGAGTCCTTTGAGAGGAAACTTGACCTATTCTTAAGGACTAAGGATAATAACTTACTATGATTTACCAATTTCGTTTTTCCTCTATTGTCGTTAATATACCTAGGTTCCTGCCGGAAGGTATCGGTGGTCCACTGATACTAGACACGGAAGCCCGTTAAGCGAAAGCTTCTTCTATTCCTTCTAAATCCATTTAAACTGTTAACGCAAATCTCGTGATCCAGAGGAGTTGGAAAGACAGCTAAAACTAATGACTGTGTACTTGATAAGTCCTTGGTGGACTCTCAGACCAATCCTCTATAGTCCCATAGTAAAGCTTCGTCTAACATTGTTGTGAGTCACTCGCTCGACTTCCAGGACTCTGTTACAGTAAAAACTAGTCGTAAGATACCAGTAGTTAAAATACAGGATCTAACGTCATGATTGAAAGCTGTGATGACAGTTTCAAAAGAAGCTAATCCCCTCCCTAGTTTAATTATTTGGAATCTAGAGGAGTCCGAAGACAACGACCCTGCTAGAAGACATGCACATGACCTGCAGTTAGTGGAGTCTGTGGTAAGAAATGCACTACATGAAGAGGCTTCAGGGGTACATATTACAAAAGTAATGCGACTTGGTAGATGGGTTGGAGCCGAGACCCAGCCAAGAAGAATCCTTAAGCTGGTTCCCGAGAGTTTTGAAGAAAGAGACATATTATTGAAAAACGCACCAAAAACTCGTGACTCAAATATCCGTATCCGACCAGATTGAGCGCTTGAGGATCGAATCACGTAGAAGAATGCTTTTACGGAGTTGAGGACTCGCAAATGAAATGGCGAAAATAATCTTACTATTAAGGGTTTTCGAGTAGTCAGGTCTTGGAAACCAATGCTTCTGAGGCCTGTATGGGTAGAACGATTGATTGTCAAAACACCTTAAGTGTATGCTACACGAACGCTCGTAGTCTTAGAAATAAAACGTCCGAGCTAAGTCTGATGGTGCAAGAATTATGTCCCGATATAATCGTTGTTACAGAAACTTGGTTCACAGTAGATATAGACTGTTCTCCTTTCATTGCAGGCTATATCTGTATAAGAAGTGATAGAGTTTCAAGTCGCAAAGGGGGAGGTATAATATTATACGTTAGGGATCACTTTCGTATACAATCAACCATATCGGAGGCACATATCAGTGGTACATGTGAGGTAGCATGTTGTAAGATCAACTCTAGAAATTGGTTGGTGACTATAGGAATAATATATCGTAGTCCGTTTTGTCTTGCTGACGACTTTGTCCTGAGACACATCTGTTCTTGGAGTATGGCAGAATGTTGTCTCATCATTGGGGACTTCAACGCACCGCATATCAACTGGATAGAGCTTACAGCTCCAGGTAGTGGTTTCGATAGCGACCTTTTATCTACTGTTATTCAGTGTGCAATTGTACGATGTATCACAAAACCGACACATATTGATTTGCAACATGATCCGTCACTGCTGGACCTCGCCCTCACCCACCACCGTGAGGATGTCTTTGATATTCAGCACCTTCCCCCACTAGCGAACAGCGATCACGTTGTAATTCACTTTAAGTTTAGGACACATGGTATACAATTCGTATCTGCTCCACCCCGTCCCAATATCTGGCGAGCCAATATTCCGGAAATCAGAAACTGTGCTATCTCGACTGATTGGTCGGTCGACGCGGATGGATTGATCGAAGATGAATGGAATAAGTTTAAGGCTACATTCGAGTCCGTAACGTCGCCGTTTATCCTATGGTCAGCACGTAAGCTATCACACTGTCCTCCATGGATTAATAAGGAAACCCGGAAGCTGTTAAAGCGTAGGAAACATTTCTGGGACTTATTCTTGTTGACAGGTCATGAGCCATTTAAGCGTGAGTACCAAAAATTCCGTAATATCTGTAAGAAAATTATAGCCGAATCCCGTACCACTTACGAACGACAGTTAGCATATGATACCCGTACTTGTCCGAAACGATTGTTTTCGTATGTTAAACGGCGAATGAAACGTAGTGATGGTATTCCCCCGTTACTGTTACACGAAAATTCAGATCTACTAGCTGAATCAGATCGAGCAAAAGCTGAAACTTTTTCAAACTAGTTTGGCGAAGTCTTCTCTACGTTTATTGTAACAAATACTTGTCCCATTCACACCGAGATACCAACCATTGAATCTGTACAGGTGACTGAGGAAACTGTCCTTCCGTTGATAACTAACCTCAAACCTGGTAAGATACCGGGCCCTGACGGGTCGGTCCTATATTTAAGGACGGTCAGAGACAGATGGTATCTAACTACCGGCCTGTCAGTCTAACTAGCGTAGTCGTTAAGTTACTTGAAAAGATAATTCGGGTTAGGTTGCTAAGCGACATAGATTTACACAATCTGTTAGCTCCTGAGCAACACGGATTTCGTAACAAGCGTTCATGTTTGACTAACTTGCTTATTGCGAGGGAGGATTGGACAGCAGCCCTAGATAACGGTCTGTCTGTCGATGTGATATTCATAGATTTTAGCAAAGCATTTGACAAGGTTTCACACGTAGGTCTAATGCAGAAGCTCACGAGCTTCGGAATAATAGGTACTGTACATGAGTTGATAGGAAATTTCTTATGTGACAGCAGACAGAGAGTGAGGGTCAACGGAACGCTATCCGATTGGAAGCCGGTCAAAAGTGGTGTACCCCAAGGCACCATCTTAGGCCCTCTGCTCTTCCTTCTCTACGTTAATGAGTTACCGCTGTTACTTAGGTCGTCGACATTATGGTTTGCGGATGATGTAAAAATCTGGAGAACAATAAGAAGTGCGGCTGATCATGTGGATCTTCAAGCTGACTTAGACGATTTAGTTAGATGGGCTCGAGAGTGGGGCTTAGAAATCAATGCTAGGAAGAGTGTGCTAATGTACATCGGTCACGGTAATAGTTACCGTTACACTATTGAGGGTAAACCTCTTCCATGCGTTCAAGAGCATAAAGGCTTAGGAGTAATAATAAGACATGACTTAAAAACAACTACGCATTGCAACGCAGCCACTATCAAAGGTTTTCGTGCGTTATGGTCACTTCGCCGAGCGTTCAAGTCTTTTGACGAGGAAACGTTTCGAATTTTATATCCCATATACGTTAGACCACATTTAGAGTACTGTATCCAAGCAGCTAGCCCGTGTCTGGTAAAGGATACTAACTCTCTTGAGCGTGTCCAGCGCGTGGGAATGAAATTAGTGAAGGGTCTTTCTAGACTCCTTTACGATGAGCGTTTAAAACGCCTAAATCTTTTCCCCTTTCGTATCGTAGGACACGAGGTGACCTTATACTGGCATTTCGTATCTTTAATTATGATTTGGGTGTTGATATGTCTTATTTTTTGCTCCCTCCAGCACTAATAATCTCCGAGGTCATAGCAAGAAGGTTCATAAACCACAATCTAATAAACTTAAAGTGGGGTCCCGTTTTTCTCATTGAGTAGTCAATCATTGGAACGCCTTACCCGAACAAGTGGTATCAGTCCCATCAGTGAATACTTTCAAGGAGAAGCTGGACCTTCACTGGAAAGCAGTGTGTCAGGATTAATACAGGTTCACCAACCTACTATCCTTATTACTGAAGACTGAAGACTGATGTACACACGTAACTCATTTGAACTTGTGCGTTACTTAACGTCGTCCGAAGGTGGTCTGTCAGTTGTAGTCTCTCCACTTTTGCCAGTTTCATTAATAATTCAGAGCCCGTCTATATCAAGCTTATTTAGTAGACGAAAGTCATCGAGTTCTTCGATGGTGTCAAGGTCCAGACTTTGGATTCGTATGAACTGAAGGCAAGAACATTTGTGCATTATATACATTGCTAAAGTAATTAGATAACACCTGATCTTTATCACAATGATGAGATTGATGCCGAAGCCACTCTGGATGAAGCACGAAACCACTTAAATAGGCTTCGGATCTGTTCCACTAATGACCGAAGCTTACTCAATAAGCGATTGGAACTAGGTGTTCAGATTGACTGTACAAAGCCAGACATAATCACAGTCACAGAAACCTGGCTGACACAGTCTATAGATAGTATGGAACTTGATTTTGAGGGTTTTACGTCAGTAAGGGCTGATAGAATACAAAAGCATAGATGAGGGAGAGTAGCTCCATTCACTAGGAATTCTATCCCATTTGCCATTATCGACAGTGTATCCCATGAAAGTGGGACGTGTGAATTAGTTAGTTGCCGCTTGAAATGCAAGGGATAAGAGCTGCTGATTGGTTTGGTTTATCGCAGTCCAAGCTGTGAGGTAAATGAGGTCCTCCTAAGTAGTCTCAATACTTGGTCACAAAGTGGTCGATGTCTAATCCCAGGGGACTTTAATGCACCTATGGTAGACTGGGAAAATTTGCGAACTGAATCGTCAGAAAATTCCTTCTAGCAGGAACTAGTTGATGCGGTTATCACATGTGCTCTAGTGCAACATGTGAAAGAAGCGACTTGGTGCAACCCGGTCTCTGAATCATCCTTATTAGATTTTATATTGGCTCACTATGTGGATGACGTTGCGAACTTCCATTACATGCCACCTTTTAGGTAAAAGTGATCACGCTGTTTTAACTTTTGACTTTATGTAACTGTCAATTATTATTATTATTATTAATAAAGCCATTAATAATAATAATAATAATAATAATAATAATAATAATAATAATAATCACGAGCACGCGTTAGCTCAATCCAGACCTAACGTCTGGAAAGCAAACACACCAGATATCATGCACTCAGCATCGTTAGTAGATCGGAAAATAGACCCAGAATCCTCATTTGAAACGGCTTGGGACGCATTTCGAAATTTATACTTAAAAGTTACCGCACCCCACATCCCTTGGATTATACCAAGGGGGCCGAGAAACTCTCCACCATGGTTCGGTAGGGAGGCCCGCATCCTTCTCCGTAAAAGAAGAAAACTGTGGGATAGATTCAGGTTACTGGGGACTGATGAGACAAAATATCAGTATCGAAAAGCTCAGAATACCTGTGCCTCGACCCTCCGCAAGTCTAGAAAGTTGTACGAAGAAAAAATTGTTAAGGAATCCATAGGATGTCCTAAACGCCTGTATTCCTATATAAACCAAAGGACAAAAGGAAGAGGGAATATTCCTGCACCATTGGGAGACAGTACTGCCGCATCATTAGTAGAGGACGACTTTGATAAGGCTCAAGTGTTCTCAAACTACTTTAGCAGTGTATATACCATAGAAGCACTCTCCCCGTCAGCGCATACAGATCCCCCCACACATACGCTGGATAGCGTGACCATTAAAGAACTCGATGTCTTTGGTCCACTAAATAAGCTTGACATAGGTAAATTCACGGGGACCGATGAATTACATCCTAGGCTACTAAAAGGATTATCTAACTTCGTTGCGAAACCTTTAAGTATATGCTTTAGCCTATCCGTAACGCAGGGTCGTTTATCCAAAGACTGGAAAAACGCCATAGTAAGTCCTGTCTTCAAAACAGGTACGAAACACAAACCTGAGAATTACCGCCCCGTCAGCTTGACTAGTGTGGTTGTTAAAATCTTAGAAAAGATTATTCGGAAGGAGCTGTTTAAGTATCTCGATAAAAACCGGATCCTTTCGGAGAAGCAGCACGGTTTCAGAATAGGTTAATCTTGTCTCACTAACTTATTAGTGGCTCGTGAAAGCTGGTACGCTATTAACGATCAAAAGTTACTTGTTGACGTAGCCTTCATTGATTTCAGTAAAGCTTTTCACAAAGTCTCGCACAACCGGCTGTTGTATAAGCCAAGAAATGTCGGGATTGGAGGCAATCTATTGATGTGGATAAAAGACTTCGTAGTTGGGCACCAACAAAGAGCACGGGTGAACCCAAAGTTATCCAGCTGGGAAACTGTGCTTAGTGGAGTGCCCCAGGGTACAGTTTTGGGGCCAGTGCTATTCCTCTTGTATGTAAATGACCTTCCTCGTCTCCTACCATCATCGGTCTTGTTATATGCTGACGATGTCAAGATATGGAGAGCGATACGAAGTAAGGGTGATGGAACTTCAAAATGACCTGAAGAAATTATCTGAATGGTCTCAAACCTGGTAGTTGCCGATAAATACTTCCAAGTGTGTTGTGATGCATATCGGACATCAAGGTACGGATGGATACACGATGAATAACAATGAGCTACTTGTTATCCAGACACATAATGACTTAGGAGTCATCGTTAGCCAAGACTTAAAGACTACTGCACACTGCCGTGCTATGTATGTATGACATGGTATCGTGGTATGAAAGAAATCTGCAAACAGCTGGCTTGTGTTGGCCCTTCACGACTCCCTGGCTGAGGTCCGAGAGATGGTGCAACACAGTGGCTAGAGACGTTATCAGATATGTCTCAGAATAGAAGTCAGTGGCGATCCTGCTGTACTCTTTTACTTTCTTCATAAAAAGTGGTTGCTTCTTCCTTAACTGAAAGATCTCTTCTGATTGTACCTTTTCGTTTCCCCCATTATTATTATTACGCTACCTTACCTTATTCTGTTCGTTATTGTTTTTTTACGCTCCTCACCTTTTTTCCTTCTCCTCATCAAATTACCATTGTTTTGTGTGGCGCATATATATTTGGTGCCCTCTTGTACCAATATTTATGTATTCGAATAAATAAATACGTGCGATAGCCGCCACAGGTTTTAGAACCTTATGGTCAATACATAGGACCTTTAGACATGTCGGCGCCAGAAGGTTTTTGACTTTGTATACAGTGTTCGTACGTCCTAAACTTGAGTACTGCATACAAGCGGCTAGCCCCTGCTTAAAAAAGACAGTGAGCTTTTGGAAAAGGCTCAGAGAACAACAACTAAGCTGATTCCCGGAGTTGCGAAGCTTCCGCATGATGCTCGACTGGTCAAGTTAAACCTATTACCGTTGTCATATCGCAGAACTGGAGGCGACTTGATTGCAGTTTTCAAATTGCTTTGTGATAAATTTGCACCTGATATGCCCTCATTTTTCTTGTCTTCCAAAACAGAGAATTTAGGAGGACACTCCTAAAAAGTTCACAAGCCAAGAACAAATTACTTGTCAGCTGACTATCGACTTTCCCACCGAATCATCAACGAGTGGAATTTATTGCCTCAGCACGTGGTTGAGGCTCCATCCGTCGATTCTTTCAAAAGAAAGTCGGATCAACTGAGAGACCACCGTTTCTAGGACTAACACAGGCCATCGGGTTTCCTGTCCTTTCCAAACTAATACTGAAGTATCTAAACAAAATCTCAATCCTTTCCGAAAGGTGGCACCGCTTCAAGTCGGGTTATTCATGTCTCAGAAACGTATTAGTAGTCCGTGAAAGTCGTGCTCAAAGGGACTTAAGGCTACCTATAAATGTAGTTATCATTTACTTCAGTAAAGCTTTTGATGAAGCCCCACACAATACTGTTATCTGAGTTAAGTGGTATCATGATTGGAGGTAAATTACTTGTGTGGGTAAGGGACTTCCCAGTTGGGCGTCAACTCCAGGTTATCTGTCTGATGAACTATGTCATTCCTCCCATTTGTATATAACTTTCCTATTCTATCATTGGCTTCGTTTATGCCAACAGTGGCAAGATGTTGAGAGCGATGACAAAGGAAGAGCTTCAGAATGACCTGGAGAGACTACCTGAATGGTCTAGAATTTGACAGTTTCCGATAATTGCTTTCGAGTGCATTAGGATGCACATTGGTCACCAGATTACAGAGACACATATAGTGAACAACATTGAGTTACCTTTTGTCCCGACACACATTGACGCAAGAGTTATCTTCAGCCAAGATCCGAAAATCACTGCACACTGCTGTGCAGTAGCTGCTAAGAGTTTCAGAACTATCTTGTCAATATATAGAGTATTTAACCATGTATATGCTAAGACCTTCTTGACTTTGTATACGATGTTTGTTCGTCCTAAACTTGAGTACTGCGTACAAACAGCCAGCCTCTGCCTGAAAGTGAACTGAGGTGTTGTAAAAGGTTCAAAGAATGGCCACTGAGTTGACATTTGGAATGTTGAGGCTGCCATATGACGAGATACTGGCTAGAGTAGACGTATTCCCCATTTTGTATAAAAGGATGTGAATTGATTCGATCGTTATTTCCAAATTATTTAACTGTAAATTCGCCTCTGATGCACTTTCACTTTTCTTGTCTCCCAAATTAGAGAATTTACGAGAATACTAAAAGCGTTGACAAGCCCAGAACAAACTACTTGTCAGGTGACCATTGACTTTCTTATCGAATCACCAACTAATGAAACTTGTCAACTAAACACGTAGTTGAAGCTTCATCTGTTGACGCATATAAAAGAGAGTTGGATCAAATGATGGACCATTATCGCCAGGACTAAAACAGCCCACCCAGTCTTCTGTTTTTCCCAAGCTGAAACAGACTTTCATTACTAAATGTAAGTGCATTCTATATACTTACTGAACCGTCCACTTTCACTGCTCCGCACACTCCCACAGCATATATGGTACCTTCATGTTAGATGCAAACTTACCAAATGCTCATGGTCATACGTATGGTGAGCAGTAAAATATATATTTTTATATTACTTTGAACGCTAGAAGTAGTAAATTTCTTAAAAATCTAATGCGGAAACATCAACATTGTTTAAGCGTACATTTGTTTCATATGCCGTAAGAATGATATCCTTCATTTAAGTAGAACTGGTGCCTGTATATACTCAAGTTGTGCGATACATTTGTTGACTACTTGTAGATCTATATTACATATCCTTGGCTCTGAATAAGGTAGCAGTGTAAATGGTTGAGTCAATGTATTTCAACTACGACCTGAAAGCTACATTGCATAGTTTTTTCTCTGATGATCCAAGTGTTGATTTTTAACTCTTCTATTAATAGCAGATTAATGAACAGTTTTTCTGATAAATTTATCTGGGCTTATGTTGATGAAACATTATTTCTCCAGATTCTGGTACAAAATGACATAAGGGTGATTACAAAGCATGACTTTCAAATGATGTTAAGCTTCAATGCACCTACTCTCAAAAAAGGTTTTGAGTTTTATAGTCCCTTTAACGATTTTAAGTTGTTTGATTATGACGTGTTTATGACTCGATGCCTGCATTACGTGACTTCATATTTCAAGCACTGCATTTAATATTTCAGTCTATGCCCCACAAACTAAACTTTCGCTTTTAGATGTTTTCATTTAGTAGGTATTAATAAAGTGGCTGAGCTTCATAAACTATTTTGTCATGTCATAAAATAAAGCTCAATTTTATAACACCATTTCCCATCTTTAGTAATAATTTAATTACTTATATCTGCCTCTCCGTCCTCTAAAGCAATGACCATCTAAGCTATTGCTGGATGGCTCAAAATCATTTTCGTATATATTGAGGGGAGAATTTCGTTTTTATCATCAGATTACCAACTACCAGAAGTCTATTAATGCAAGTAGGACAATCCTCAAATGCCCTTGTACGACCGAGGGTCAAGAGAGTCAGCTCTCCCTCTCGAGATGTTCTCACATGGCCACGCGTATACGGCCACTACCAGAGAAGTTCTACTCGCTGCTTTCTCACGGCGGGGGTGATGTTTACGAACTTGGAAGGACGAAAAGCGAATGTTCGGCGCTTTAACCGGGTGAACCTGGAAGATATGTCTAAGGGGGTTGGAAAACCCTGATTCCAAATTAACGGGGCACATGGGTTCCAGGACCCTGAAAGAACCTATTGCTGGTCACCGGCTACCTTGGGACTGCATCTATTAAAGTTGGCTTGTGGATTAGACCTTTAGGTCAAAGGCTCCGGCTGTGACCCCTTAAGAGGACCACCTGCTTCGATTTGGCACTCGGGCAGTATCACAGCCCTCACACAAATCAATGATAACTGTGTGTCACGCATGTATTTTCGCTCTATTGTACCAATGTTTGTGTTCAAATAAATAAAAATAAAATAAATCACTCGACATTCAACTAGCAGGTTGCAGGTTTGAATGCACTGACTAATTCGGTTTGGACTACTAGACATCATCATGCTATCTCAGGATCAAAATTATTTCCCTCATTACTTAGCAATATGGATACAATAAAATGATTATAATTATGCTTTTTTCTGTTGAATAGACTAAACGTTTATTTGTATTTGTACGGCTTGAGAGTGGTATGATCCATTAGTAGCATACATAATTATTCATTTGGCTTAGTGAAGTCACCTTGTTTTCCACACATTGTTGTCTTTAGAATTGTAGTTACTTTGTCTGATATTCCTGAGTAATTGTTGTTAAGTTATGGTGGAATCTTGTAGTAAGCTAATTTTCTCCTGGTTCCATTATCCTAATTATTTAAGAATGTCATTAAAATTAGTGGGTTTTTGACATTGAGGTAGAAACTAATGTATGCTCATTTAGGTTCAGTCGTCTAAGCACCTGGTTTTGTGCACCAAATCGCTATTCTGAACACCACTTCATCTTAAATGACTAGTAAACCAAGTTACTATCCTTTTATAATAAGTAGAACGAATATCCCAACGAACTTGTATCTGGTTATTGAGGTGTCGTTATACTTGCATTATATACTTTTATATAAGTTTTTAAACCTGATTTTGTTTTCGAATAAATCATCTCTGTAAGAATACAGATTTTGTTGTTGCAATCGGTATATCGATGACGACCAATCAGTCTTCATCTCAACCAATTGGACAGTCAAACAAAAGCCCAAGAGAGCACTCTCATGGTGGTCTTCCGACATCTAGTTCAGCACCTCGTAGTCGTTTACCTGGTCATAATCACTCGTCCCGTGAATCACTAGATTCTATCAATCCCGATCAAATGCTTTATTATGGGGCGAAGCAGATAATCAGGTTAATTTTTCAATATTTTCTTAATGATATAGATAAATACGTTGAGTTTAAAATTCTCTGTGTTTATGTTCACTGTAACCTAGACTTTCATATTAAGCCATATGCATTTCTTTCTGTACACCAAGGAGCGAGTATATGGGGTAGCAGTCCACTTTGCTTTTGTGCACGGCTCTAGAACATAACCCATAAAAGCAGAAAATCAAGTGTTGCTTTTGAGTTCCTGTTGTAAGGATGTATTACACCTTTAGCATTAAGTCTTGTTAAAATGTTCTTAGGTACCGAATATTTTATCGTAGGACTAATCGTAATGCTTACTAACTATGAACTGGTGTTCAGTAATCCTCATAAGTTTTGAGGGGTTTATATCAGAAATCTCAAGTTGTATACGTTTAGCATTGTATTCAATCCTCAGCGTTATTGCTTTCAAAAGGTGGCATTCTTCAATATAGTAAAAAGATTACTCCATGATAGTTATTTCATAGAATCATAATAATGGGTATCATAAAGGAACCATTTCATTTTTTATAAGAACAAATCCTCTGGCAGTTCTTGCCAAAAATAATCCTTAAATTTATACAAAAAACATACCAGGATTTAAAAAGACTTACTTATTGTTAGTCGAATTTAGAGAGTATTATAAAGGGTTTGACGCTAACCCACTAGATTTATATGTATGAGTAAAATTACTCATGTATTGATGGATTTAGCAGACAGTCGCACCAAAAGGTGAAATGTTTTGGACTTTAAAAAACGCTGATTCACGAGATCATTGGTGTAAACATCCCTTTCGTGGTGTGTTGGTCATTAGATCATTCCTAGAAGTTGTAATTTACTATAATACTTCATAGTCCCCAGTACCTTTCCACCAAATTTCAATTTTTGATGAAAAGCATCTCCAAATGTTCTTTTATTATAATGTTACTATATTCTTTCTTATAACTACACTTCCCGTTTTTACATTCTCATTTCAGTTTATTTATACCAGTGACAGTTTGTATGTTGTTTGTTGTTGCTGTCGCTTCGACAGTTGACTTTTATGGACATACGGATCAGTATTTGTTGTATACACCTTTTCATACTCCAGATGCAGATATTGGGACACAAACATGGCAAACAATAGCTAATACTTTGATATTTATGAGTGTGGTTGTCGTAATGACATGTGTCCTTGTTTTACTGTTCAAGTATCAGTGTTATAAGGTGAGACATGAATATTTTCACACAAAATTATCCATAAATTCTCATAATATTCTTAGATGTGAAACAAATATCAAAATGATTTATCTAAATATTGGGCATCTAAAATACGATTCTATAGATTATAAATTGGTGAAGTAAAAACAGAGAAAATTATGAAGGATTCTGAAGTTTAGAATTTGGTGGTAAACAAAAATAAATGCACCTGTTAAATTGCAAACAATTTTGAGTTATGTCACTCAAATTCTCCAACCATTGGTCATGGTAATGACCCCAACCAGGTTGTCTACACCTATTAGTATGGCTTAGTTTAATTGTCAATCACTTCATGAACTGATGCCAAGTTTTGGTTTGTCCGTCCCTAGCTTTCTTCCAACCTACTTTCACACCAGACGACATCTCGTAGAGGTAGGCTTTGGTTGGATACACGTAAAAAATATCCCAAATACCTCGGTTAACGAAGATTTTTTACTATCCCATCAGTCGACTTGCCATCCGTTACTAGTACCCTATTTTCAACCCAGGCATTGCTTACTCGGTGCTGCAAAGACACGATTTCTGTCTCAACAGTTACTTGTACAATTTATATATATATATATATATATATATATATATATATATATATAATAAAATTGCTGAAAGCTTTAATACATTATTTTCTTTGTAGTTTATTCGGGGTTGGATAATTATGACGACCATCTTCTTACTTTTCCTGATATCCTTCATGTTTTTTGCGTGAGTGATAATTAATTATTGTTGCATCAAAAAAGTTAAAATGCTCATTTTTTTCATTTATCAATAACGGTAGACAAAGATGGAGAAAGAAAGTAACATAGTTCTGGAACCTTCAAACGATTACATTTACCGTGTCTCGTGTTCCCTTATTCTACGTCAGATTAGAAAATGAAAAGTTATTATTGTTATATTACCAAGGAAAGCTTGATAAGATAGTTGGTCACCAATTAATTTGTCACAAAATCGTAGTTCGGTAGAAAAAACGAAGTCATCGAATAATAGAAATTCTAATAGAAATTAACTAAGATTTCGATGGAACAATGAGAAAATTCAGTTGGTCTGAGAAATGTTATTTATTTGCGCTATACATTTTGAACAATCTGCTCACACATATACTTGTTAAGGCATTTTATATGAAAATTAGTTAAGGTCAGTTAAATAAAGGTTCAAGTAAACCAAGTAATAATTGTGAATAAAGGAGAGGGAAAAATTAACGTCGTATGAATACAATAAATTATCGCGTTACCCTAGGCCATAGAATGGCTTAAGGATTACCAGGGCGAATCCAAGGTTATGACAAATTAGATTCGAAGTTAGATTTCATTCATTTCAGTAGGTGCTCATTGTTTATGACGATCATAAACGGTCAAGTTAAAAATAATCATATAAACAGTAGTACTTAGCTAACAAAAACAAAATACTAAGATTATTGATTTTAGGACAGTAGTAAAAGTATGTAATACTAGGATGTTCGAGTGAGAATATGAATTCTTTCACTCCGTGGCTACTATTGTTAAACTGTTAGCTATGACCAGTCAACTACTGAAAGGAATCGTTATCGTAGATCTTAGCTTTTAATGTTAATTGAATTCGGCTGACAACTTTGTTTCAATGTATTCATTGGTATAAAGGATTCTATTGGAACCGGTGTTTAATTAATGAAAACAGTCTGCTCAAATCTATAAACATTAGCATCTTTTAACTAGGTATATATGCAATAATAATGAAAATCTTGCTTCATAAATACTTTAACTATTCAGTTATGTGAATATTACCGCTAAGCTATTCATTTCGATAATGATCGGTTGTTGCACCGAACCAACTACACTTAACATTTCCTTGTTGATTATCCTTATTCATTGAGCTTTTCTTTAACACTACATGGATAATTTTGTGAATTATTATGGTCACTTAATTAATGATGTGCAACATGGCACCAATGGGTATCGTTTTAAGTCATCACGACTCACATCAGCACAGTCAAAGTTAGTAAGAAATAAAATAGAAGCACTTTTTGCACGTAACAGTCAACCCTATACTTGAAAATTTAACTAAATATTTCATAATATAATTCAGAGCACATTCATTTTATATATTGTGAAATGAACCAAAATTTTAAACAGATAATATATCATAAACTACGGCGGAATAACTGTTTTTCACGTATTAACTTTCTGCTCGCTTTCTCCCAATTTTGAAACAACCATGTCCATGAAGAAGAATTCGTTTAATAGTTGTTCTTACGTGGTTTATAACTCTGTCAGGGTCTTTCAAAGGATATATATAACCTTTGTAGTACTTTATTTAATCAAACTTGAGAAATGCTTATCTTTACATTGTAATAGTGTCTGACTGACGAGGTGTATAGGGTCAATTCTTATTTATATGGGGACTCAAAGGTTTGAGAATTAGAAAGATGATTGTTCACTGATCATTTTCTTGGAAGTTCTGTTATGCATTGCTGTTTTCACAGCAATATTTTCAAACTAATGATGTACTCAAAATCATTGAAAAATTGTTTTTCTACTTACATTCTTTATGTTCTGTGTATCAGTAGTAAGATAGTCAGTCAAGCCGGGAGTAGGACAGTAACCCTCTAGTCTTATTAAATGAAAATAGTGTTGTATCACAAGTCGACTAAAATTAAAGCTGAATTATTTTGGGTTCTAACTAGCCTGAAAAAAACTAACATGTTCGATGGAAAACATCAAGGTCTTAGGTTCTATTTTGTGTAGGGTCGTGGATTCACATTACTAAGGGATCTCGGCCTGAATAAATTGATCATTTATTGTTTTGTGTTTTCAATTATTTTCTTATTGATATTAATTCATGGTTACATATATCGTCATTTTATACAAAAATCTCAAAACTCCCCACTAATAATCAATTTATTACTGTCTATTGTAAATTCATTTTATTCGGTTGATATCACTTGTCAGTGCTCATATAAAATTTCAAGATAGTTTTCGTCGCAAGCAGAGAGTAAAGAAAATTTATTTCCATTTCCATTAATGCAATTCGTATTACCTTTTATGCTGATATATACTTTATCAAAAATGTTTATTATAATTATTATTTTCTTGTAGTGAAGTTCTTCGAGCTATGGGTGTATTTGTTGATTACATTACAGTAGCGTTTGCTTTATGGAATTTCGGTGTTGTGGGAATGATAGTTATTCATTGGCGTGGACCATTAGTTCTACAACAAGCGTATTTAATATTTATATCTGCACAGATTTCATTAATGTTTCTAAAATATTTACCCAAATGGACGTGTTGGCTTGTTTTAGCAGCGTTAAGTGTTTGGGGTTGGTTTAATTCATTTTTTTTAAAATAAAAGGTTCTATTATGTCAAATTACTATATTTGACTTCCATTAAACTTTAGATGGAATTGTCTGGAACTTTTACGCAATGAGTATTTCTGTGAATCCTTTTTCAATCTAGTTGATGTGTAATGTGATCTTTTTATACTAAATCATCTTCCAAAGACTCAAAATTGCTTATAACCATGGCGATAAATCATTGATTGAAATATCTCAAATATTGTAGATTGTTAGATTCAACTACTTACTGAGGTCGGAAGAAGTTTCGAAGCACTATAGGATTTCAGTTAACAGTTTCTAGGTTAATTACCAAGTGAATAACTCATGCTTTGACTTCCATTATCCCCTACTCTATATACACTTGTTCGTTCAGTAACTACAAACATTCTTTATAGACAAGTTTGAATTCTATCGGAACTGCAAAATGTATTAGACACATCATTGTGTCCCATTCAGTTGCTTGAGTTGTAGATAAAATGCTCGACAACTAACATAGAATTCAGGCAAGGTTAGGAGTTACACCTCATACTTCTGTCGATAAAACTTGTATGTGGTGCTTCAACTTTCGCACAGATCGGATATTTTTTTGGAATCCAGTCATCATCTGCACAAATAGCTTTAATAACCTCTTCAATCTGTGTTTCAATATAAAGATTAAATTATTGTAAAAATATTTAATGCAAGCAGATATATTTTGTTCAGAACACAATTATACTAAATATTTGCGTTATCATAAAGATGGGTACATTCGTATTTGTCCTATAATTGCGTCAATATATCATTGTACTACTAACTTAACTAATAAGTAGCATGAATTTCTAATATTTTTATATCAACCTTTGTCGTTTATGGATCCTACATTGAAGATTTGACTTGAGCTTAGTTGGGGGCTAGCTGGCAGTATACCGTTGTCCATTTATGCTGAATGCCAAAGTTAGGCGCATACCATGGTACTATCAAGACCTACCTATAATATTAAAAGATGTAGTTCCACCAGTCCCAGGTCATGAACACTGGGTCATTAACAATCGGTTTGTGGTTTAAATGTACTGAATATGTGCGCCTACTTTTCTCCTCTCTTGGTATTTTTGCTGTAATAGATTTTAATACTTTAAGTTTTATGATCTTCCTTTACCAAGTTAGTTATGAGTAGGATAACTGAAGCAAGCACACTTGTATGTACCACTCTACGTTGCTTTTACTTAAATAACTGCTTATAGTAGCTAAGATATTTAAAGCATTTTAGTAATGTATGCAATTTAAACATCTGTTGTTTGTATAGATATGTAAAGGCAAAACCTAAATAGTTTGGACTTTTTTAACCTAATGGTCAGTTTTACTACATTAGATTCTGTCGGCTTCATTTTCTCATATGATAAGATGCTAAATAATGTTTTATCAAGGCTTATTATGTTTGGATTTGTTTCCTTGATGGCAAATGGTACTTGAACTGGCTGGATATATATCAACAGTGTTTTTCAATGTACGGTATGCATTTTTATACACACTCGGTACTGTCGTATTATAGTTTATTTTCTAAAAATAAGAGGAATCTGGGAAACCTGCTTTTAGCACTGATTGAACACTTAAAGCCTTATGGGTTAATTATTAAACATATATGGTTTCAAGATTCTTTTTACCATAAACTGACACCGATTATTAAACCGAGAACTGGTAGATAGCTTATTTTTTCTAGACATTAAATGCGAAAATGTACTTGAAATAATCTCAGCGATTGAAAATTATCTAACAACTTTTCTTGCAGTAATTTAGTCCGCACTTCTTCTGAGATTACTTCAAGTATGCTTTTAAATCTGATCTCTTAAGTATACTTTAGTTTCAATTTCTGTCACATTGTTTGTTCGAATTCTGACAAATATTCATAAAAATCATTCATCCTAGTACGTAACTTCACAGCATTAAATGTCTCAAACGATATATCTGATCAAACACAAGTTCTTCATTTTTTACGGTGAATACCTTACCTTTTTTAGTTGCTTAATAGAGATATAAAAGCCCATATACTCAAAGTTTCATTCGATTTGCAACATAGCTCAGTCTTTAATATCATCATTGAGGAATTGACTTGTATGACTTCTATCCGTCAAAACTTCATGATAGTAATTCACAGAATCCAATGTGTTTTATTTACTAGTGAGGTAATTATAATCAGTAGATTAAATAGTTTTTTGGGTTCTTTATTATTTAAAGGTAGCTTTCATCATCAACGGGAAGAGCTAATCACTTCGAAAGTGTGACTGTAGCTTACCAGCGATATTGGATGTAGGTCTTAAGTTGACAAAAATTGGAAATGGATTAAATAATCATACACTTCTACTAACCTGTTCCGAAGTCCGATTTTCATCTACTAATGTTTTTAAGGAATAAAATTAATGTTTATATGTATTCGTTATTTCATTTTTGGGGATTATTCCATCTGTCTTTTATACAAGTATTATATTTTTCTTATCTGTTGGTGAATGTAAAGAAAAATACTCTTCTTTTGTATTCTTTCACATATTTTAGTGTTTCATACGGTTATCTAAAAGTTGACATTAATTTGTGCAGCTTAAAATGAGGGTTGTATTCTGTGTTGTCTATATCTCTGGTAAATAGTGATGGGATTCTTTTTTCTCAAAGGGTATCATATTAGGAAAAACTTTGATATCAATTAAGAATTTAGGAATGATTAAAACGTGTCACATTTCTGATTGGATGATTGACTATCGTACTACCATGTTTAGTATGGTTTCAGAAACTTTTGGAAGCCCATAGTCATCTGGAATACTATTAATACCCTCAATTTTCTGTGCACAGATTAACATTGGAACAAATCGTTCTTTTCACACTTCGCTCCTTTTCTCTCGTGTTCAAGTCATGTAGATTTAGCTTGGGGGTTATTGGAGAAGCTTAGAAAACAGATTCAAGAGTTCAGATACAAGACTTATCATATTCACCTCACGAAGGTTTACTTCTAAGTATCTAACTTACATGCAGCCTTGTATTTAAGTCTTAGTATGATTTCTAACTTATATGTTTATGTAATATTTTATATTGTTTAAAATAGCATTTAATATTCCTTTATTAATTCCCTGTTAACTTAAACTTAAAATATTCTCTTCAGATATAGTAGCTGTTTTGTGTCCAAATGGACCATTGCGATTGCTTGTAGAAATGGCTCATGAACGACAACAACCTCTTTTCCCTGCCCTTCTATATTCAACTACTACAGTTTATATTGTCAAAAAACATGAACCAGTTGAGAGAGTTGAAAATGATCAACAGTTTGTTGGATCCACTATTACATGTTCTATTGATGCTCCGAATGAAGCGTCAAATGTTAATTGTACTACACAATCTTGTCCTACTACATCTGAGTTGGTAGTTTCAGGTAAACTTATAAAATCATTGTTAATTATTTTTAGTATATCAATATTGTAAGCGGTTTTGAGGCAGCCTATGATATACCTTATTATAATTTAAATTTGTAATTGTGTCATAGAGAATTGTTCATTGAATATTTACAGACTTTTCAAATCTCATTGCTTGTTGATAAGTCTATAAATTCTGGCAGCTGTTTACTTTTATTCCATATTTTATATACTAAGTGTTAATAATCTTTTGGCTGGATAATAAGTCGGGTTAGAATTGACCTTGTATTAGTCCAGGTCCTAATTTCATCGATGAATAATCCATAGAATTGGTTTCTATTAATGGATTATCTTTTGAGTGATTAAATCCTGCTTATTTTGTATAACATAAATACATTTCGCTCAATCTATTAAATACAATGATGATAATTTGTATCTATATATGATGGCTATTATAGGAACAAGTAATTTGATATGATCTGCGTGTCTTTGATAACTTGCTTACTCAATCGCTCTTCGGTGTGCAATTGAAATAGATCTTGGGAGGAAACACCAGATTAAACATACACCTACGGAATTGAACTATGATATATATATATATATATATATATATATATATATATATATATGCGTGAACAGGTATAAGGTCATTAAAGTTTGTTTGATTCCAACATCTAAGAAATGGAATTTACCTTCTATTCCATGTTTATGTGTACCAAAAACATGCAATATCTGTTGAACAATGTATTCCTTTGTCGAATTGTTGAAGTCACCACGAGTAGTTCGCTTGGTCTAATTCTGTCTGATATTTTAATGAGGAACCTCAAACAGATAAGGCTTAAGCTCACAACTGAAAGGACTACACTCTGTCGTAGATATGTTGATGACACATTTCTTGTATGGAATAATCAGAAGTATTCTATGTACTTATTCAATCTGTTTAACATAGCACGCAACGATATAGACTTTGCTATGGAACCTCTCCTGACGTTCTTTGAATTCCATCTTTCAATGACCTCACACATGTTCACGCATATATATATATATATATATATATATATATATATATAATTATTATTGATAATCTTCGCTACTGTAATTCTTTCCATCATCAATGTCTATCGGTTCACGTTATATCGTACCTCTATGTTACACTTTAATGCTTATATGGTTGTAAGCAGCTGATAAGGAACAACTAGGTAATAATTAAAAGAAAATATAAGTCGCATCCCAATTAATGAGGCTTTATTTTTGTTCTATCATTAATTGTTCGTGTATATTGATAATACTCGTTACCTTTCAGTAAAAGTTATGATCTTATTTATAATAAAGCTAAAGTAAATGTTCACATTCGACATTAACGGGTTTATTTAAATTGATGATGTGTAAAACCATAATTTCTGTTTCGCATAACTCTATCGTAAAACACCTCTACCATAAACTTGATTTTGTTTGATTGTGTTATTTTGCGTCAATTCAGTTCCATTTCACTTGCACTGTCTTTTTTCCTAAAAGTATTTCTACCAGAATACGATCCGATCAAACATTTTTAAAAGGTAATTTTATGAAAGTATTTAGTTTTTAAATAGTAGGTTACGGACTAAAACCCTGCTCAAAAACGCCTGACCATTGCTACTACTTTGCTGTAGTGGTCGGACTTGCCTATCGTTATTAACCAGTCGGGCTATACTGGACAGCATAATCGTTCCTCAAAGTTCTATCATACCAAGCTGGTCGGTTGAAAAGCGCTAAGACTAGATACAGCAAACCCAAAGTCCAAGGACGAAGTCGTACTGCTGATAGTACAGAGGTGTGAAAGAAACCGGGAAGTGATAACCGCCTTCATGCTTCTAACAGCACTCAAGACTACTGACTGCACAAAGACGACCACCACCAATTACCTGGGTTTGGACAACAGCTAAGCATAGTATCTCTTAGTCCTTATATTAGAAAAAGTAATGGTTAGAAGTTCACCAGATAAACCTGCATTTGTTAAATAAATTTTAGGAATAGAAAAACTAGTACAAATACGATCATTTTATTATAGTATCTGTTATACTAACTACTATGTGTTTAGTAACTTATTTGACGTTTGTTTCTTTCTTCAGATAACGATAACCAGCCAGTAACAGCGAATCCAAGAAACATGTCAAATATTCCTATTAATGTAAGTAGAAGTAATTGTTTCAATCTTCGTTTCATTACTGTGTTTGCTGAAAATTGATTTTTAATGTTTTAGACAGCTTATTGATTAATTTTTATAAAAAAAAAGATATATTGTTTTTGATTATCTTTTAAATCATTGCATATTATAGTCAAAATGGACTACATTATGCTAATGTTTAGCAACGTCATCAGTCTTATCATTTATTAAAGAACTAATCAGTTCATTAAAGATTCTATATAAGTGTAGTATAAATATTACCTACAGTCTTTCCACTAGTTTTTTATGTAAATGCGTCGATATTCTTCTCAATCCTATTTTAATATTCTTTTGTGATGGGTTCTTTTGGTTTCCAAGATGTGCATTTGTCTGTTTTGAAGCTCTCAATTGGATGCTTCTTTATCATAGTGTGTATCATTATGTTCAGTGAGACTTAAACCCTTCATCCACCTAACTACTAATTTCTATGATTTGCCTAGTCGACTAAAGCAAATGGTCACTAATTTCACTTACTGGTGTATGTATTGACTACTCATCATTAGTTCCACTCAGCATAATCATATTTCCGCCAGTATATTGTGTTTGTATAAACAGTGATATGGTAGAAATAACTCACGATTACCTAGCTTGAAATATATATCATAAATAGATCAAGTGCTAAACAGTATTTATGTAATGCTGCTTATCGTCATTCAACTAAAAAAGAAGATAGAATCGCTGTAGAAATACTACCACATTCGAAATTATATGTGTAACAAGTATGCTCGATTTTATTTATGCATCCAACCAAATACCAGATATATAGAACGTAAATGTAGCTCCACTCCAAACGATTTTGAGCTATGTCACTCAAAGTCTAACCATTGGTCACGATAATCACGCAGACCCCAACCAAGTAGTCTACATCTCTATCAACATTACTAATTATTGTTCGTTTCATTAATTATGCATATGAACTGAATTGATGTGCTGTTATTTTTTTATTGTTGTTGTAGACGTCCGGAACTGACGTAATTGTAGTTGATACTCCTGATGACAATACGAGTAATAATGATGCCAAGAGTAATAATGAAACTATATCACAGGCACCTCATGAAACAGATACACTTGTAGCAGGTCGGCTTAATCGTTGGCAAGATCTGCAAGTATGTTGCTTTTTTATACATCAGTTTTTTGTAATTATTACTACGTAACATCATGTTTACATCGGTCAATATCCTTACATTGATTAAAATCGTCGTCATGTTTTTTAGTGATAGTCGAAATCATTTTATATGGATTGACTAATACGGTAAATGCCATTTGTCAACAAAAAGCAGAGTATGGTAGTGAACGAAGACTTGATGGGGAAAACCAACTTTTTAGTGCAAAATTACACAACACCTTAGTAAAATATGGAAATCATACATTAAATACCTTCTTTGCGTTGTTCTTCGCCTACTTCATTATCGCTCAGACTGTGTTGTTACTTTGATTGCTCTCCGGTTTCCTTTCTGTTCTCTTTAATTCAATCTTTTGCTGCCAGGCATTCCACTTCAGATCGCGGCTACATACTACTTTATATCTGTGAGCATAATTAGCATACACCACATGCAGTCGTTTCGGTCTGCCTATTGATCACATCACACTGTTTAGCCGGTATATGCTGACACAAATAATATATCTGTATTTGTTCATTGTGTCGTATATTTCCATAAAAATTCAAAATCTTATTCAGTACAACTATTTGAGAACTTTACATAAATGTGTAGTGATCCACGAGGCTACACCATTCAGTATATAATATGTTTAATATTCATGATACAAATGACAGGTATGTGGTCGGTTCTTACAACATACAGATAAGAAATCCGATATAGTAGGTTTGTTGTAAATCTATCCAGGTTATATCCTCTATTTTTTAGTATTTCAAAAAATCCATCTTGTTGAAAGATAGAACTGTAAATGATATTTAAATGACATCTTACTTTAATCTTTTCTCAAATTCTTTGTTGCTTCTTGGTGACTTAACCAACTATTCACTGTGTAATGAGTAGCTCTAATGAACAAATCAAAGGCTATCTAGTATGTTTCTCTAATTAATTTTTGTTATCAGATTACTATATTGTTATTTTTCCTAGTATTGTTACCGGGTATGATTTGAAACATACAATCATCTCGTACTGTTTACGTACAGTCATTGCTTTAGCATTTATTAAATGACATTGAACGCAAATCTGTATTGTGTTGTACTGTATCCTGTCATAGGTTTTTGTTATACAACGGGTGGTTATCAAATTAGAAGTGAAAAGTCCTGGCCTTTTTCTAATCTTCAAGTTACACTTGAAAATTAATCTCCATTCATTTTCTTTCAAGTTTTGATTTTTGCCAAAGTTTACGAAACCATCACTTAATAAAATAGCTCAGGTCTATAAGAGTTCCTGACAATTAGATTTCTAAGGTTTCGAAGGATACTAGTTAGTGCTTTTCAAATGGTCAGTTTACTGATCTGTATCCTAATTATTAGTTTAACCAACTGCGTCTTTAGTAAAGCCATCTCAAGATTAAAGGTAATAATAAACATATCTGTAGAGATTGTTGAATTTTACGATTAACATCAGCAGCGGCAGTCTCTGTATCAGTAGACCTCAACATACACAAGGGAAAAAGCAAGATCCTCAATTACATCACAGAACACCAACCCAATCACACCCAATGGAGAAGCTCTGAAACTGGTGAAAAGTTTCACGTACCTGGTCAACACCATTGATGAATAGAAAGGATCTGATGCAAACGTAAATGCAAGGGTTGGCGAAGCAAGGGCGGCATTTCTACAGTTGAAGAACATGCGAAACTCAAAACAATTGTCTACAAGCCAATATCAAAGTCAGAATCTTCAATACGAACGTCAAGACATTTCTACTATAAAGAGCTGAAATTTGGAAAACTACCACAACCATCATAAAAAAAGTACGAGTATTTATAAACAATTGTCTACGCAAGATACTGAATGTCAATTGGCCGGATACCATCAGCAACAGCCTACTTGGGATAGAACAAACCAGGTTCCATCTGAGGAGGAATTTAGGAAAAGACGCTGGAAGTGGATGGGACATAAATTGCGGAAAACACCAAACTGCATCATGAGGCAAGCTCTAACTTGGAATTATGAAGGAAAACAGAAAAAAGGAAGACCAAAGGTCACACTGCATCGGGGATCGGAAGCAACTGGAATGAATTGCCGAGGACAGAGTTGAATGGAGAACGCTGGTGGACTACCTATGCTCTTCTACGAGGGAACAGGCGTAAGTACGCATTGATTTAAACAAAGCAACCACTAAAATTTAGGAAGCATTGGGCAAATACTTCGCCCTAGTATGGAGCTCTTCATGAGTGCACATCCCTTGCCCTATTGGGGATCGGACTCAAGAACCTCAGGCGCTCAACCTTCAAACCACTGGGTCGGTATCCATATGTTTAACTCCTGTTAATTCCCCATATTGTGTAATTTGTTTTTGGGTTGGTCTAGCGCTTTTATTACTGTTATTATTTATTATTATTACTTGTCAGCATACATTATATGTTTACGAATCCATGTGAAATGTGGCTTGAGAGATTTGCGTCATTGTAATTACGTAGGCCATTTAAATATTTTTCAGATTGTGTATATGTATATATATGTATATATTCATTGACCAGTCAGAAAATTATCATGAAATTAACTCGGTTCATAACAACTGTTGGAAAAAGGCAATAACATATTGCTAAATTATTACAATCTGTTCAGACCACAATTTGGACACATCTAAATATATTTAATTAGTTCAATAAAATACAGTTAACTGATAGAAGTTCGATTATATATATATATATATTCAAGATTTGGGAGAAAGTTATGGTATTTTTTAATTGTGTGTTGTTGAATAATAGTTTGGTTATGTAAGTACTTAAGTTTCGACTACTTAGTCTCAGGTTCGAACCCTGTTCCATCTTCAATTTTAATAAATTTATGCGGTGTTATTGACTCTCTTGAGTAGTATCTGGTTTTGTTCCGTTGTGAAGTAATTCACAGTAATTCTGAATTACGAACGATTGAACGATTCTCCTAATAAGAAACCGAGCCAATGAGAGCTGCATAGACGGGACAATGAATACTCAAAACTTTAACAATAATCCCTTACTTTAGTGAAGAAGGGAAATTGCTTGATATTACAGTATGTTGAAACTGCAATGAAACAACTTAGTTTACGTAGCAATAGCCATGGCCTTGAAATAACAAAATAATAAACTAAGAGCGAAAACCAATCCGGTAGCGACAGAGGTTGGTGGGGTATTATGACGCGGAAAAAATTGTCAAGGTTATTTTTGTACGTTATAACGACGATTTATTAATGAAATATAAAAAGAACTAGATAATTTTAGGTTTTCTTAAAAAATCTAAATCCGGATTTGCAAATCCGTTTTCGGTTTCTGAGTTGCGTGGAAACATTTTCTAATTTACACCGGGTGAAATGGCATCTGCATACTGTACAACTCATCTTTATTATTTATGTATTCAGTCAATAAGAAAAGATTTTCTTTATGTCATTATTCATGGATTGGATTATTGGCTGATTTATTACATGTGCGTTAAAATCATTTTATGCTGGTCATATCACTATCTGTGTTGAAGTTCACAGTTACAATTTTACTCATGAAAGTACACTAGGATCATTGAGTGACTATTGTAATCACGATCTGAACGTAGCTGAATGTGATGATAGGCAATTAATTTAGCTTTGTTCTGGCCTAAGGTGCATATGATTAGAAGAAATAAGATTTATACTGGGAAGCTTACCTTATCAATATGCATTTACTTAGATGAGTTCCAGTTAAAAATGACTACCGCTCAATAGTATGAATCATCTCTATACTTTTGAAACTAAACTTAATACTTTAGGTTCCCTGGAAGACACAGAAGTTACGTTTGAGCTACTCCACTATATTCCGATTAATACTTTCCCCTAACCATAATAGTCAGTCAGTCAGTAACAACGTAGAACTTCGTACGTACGTACATCAGTTCGAGTTGCCACACCACATTAGCACACAGATGTAGTGGTTGATTCAAATCCCGTAGTGGTAGAGGTAATAAGAGTATAAGCAGTAATCGGGAAAATTAGTGTTTGGAGATGTTATTTAAAGAGTATAATACAGTGAAATAAATTTGGGAAGAGAAAAACAAGAGACAAGGAGGAATAAGGAGATCAAAATTTGGGAGAACACAAAGAGTGTATGCACCTGCGCCATTGCAAACGATTTTGAGCCATGTCATTCAGGGTCTCTAACCATCGGTTGCTATCATCTTGCGGTCCCCAACCAGGTAGTCTACACCTACCAACATGACTCAGACCACTTGTCAGTGACTTCATGGACTTGTGCCATAATAAATCGAAGACATTGTCAAATCAAACCATAATCCATTTATTTATTATCTTTCTTATTAAACATTGTTGAAATCATTCGTTGTAAAGATATAACGACTGGTAGGTTCAGTCGTTTTTAGCTATTATCAATATTCATTTCAATGTTTAATGTGCATTTGTTATTTACCTCTACCTTATTCTGACTATTATTTTAACAGGCAGATTTAATTGATCGTGACTCAAAGGGTGTAAAACTTGGTTTAGGCGATTTTGTATTTTATAGTCTATTGATTGGTCGTGCAACACTTGATGGCGATGCAGTCACTGTAGTCACATGTTATGTGGCTATATTAGTTGGAATGTGTATTACTGTTATAGTATTGGGAATTACACGACAAGCATTACCAGCTTTACCAATATCCATAACATGTGGTATATTATTTTATTTTGTCAGTTCAGCGACAATATCACCGTTTCTTGAGGCAACAGCAGCTGAACGTGTGTTCTTCTGAAATGATCTATTATTATAATTATTATCGTTATTATTATTATTGTCACCACAGCTGTTATTATAATTTTTTTTCTTGTTTTTATACAATTTTCAATGTTACCGTTGACTTGGAATACTCATTCATGATTTATTATCTGTTATTTTTATGTTTAATATTCAACTTTTAATTGTGAATTTTAGGTCCAAAATTATAATGATAAGTTTTCAAAGGATTTTTATTCAATAATACAAGTATTTTAAGATAAAAACATGTCTTGGAAATTCTACTAATATATAATCAAATTGAATAATGGAGTTGTATTTCAGCGATTTTTATAATCGATTGTGAATCAACGAATCATAAGCGAAACTAATATTTCATTCAACTTAGTTTCATTGCATAAATATAGAATATAATCAACTTACAGTAAAGTACGCGAGGATGTTGGAAAGAATTTCATATTTATTTGAACTCATCAAAGGGAAATACTGTAATCTGCTGAGTAATCCGGCGCTGGATTCAAGCCCAGTATAGTGCATCTTGTTAATAAGTCATTGTTTGGAAAAAGCATCATCTGTTTCCACTTTACATAATCATAATTTACATACCTAAAGAATCCATGTGATACAACAAAACACTCATTTTAAGAGAAAAATTCTCACTAATCTAAGAAAGGAATATGTAGGTACTTTTAGGCAAGAATTAAAATTCTTCAACTCATAGATGGAATCATCAAACATACTAGTTTGTTTTTTTTCACAAGGAAATTCAATTACCTTGTGATGAAGGCATTTTTCTCATAAATTACAACATACGTGAATACTTATTTTCAGCCAGAAACAAATAACCAAACAGAAGTCACAAGATTCATCAAAGAAATATTTATAAGTATAATAATAATTAGTTAATTAATCATGACTAGAATAGAAACAAACAACAATTAGGCCGTAAACAGTAGTGTACATCTCTCGTGATCAATTGGTATATGTATATTACTAGATGAGAAAAGGAAAGCAAAATAAAACCACAAGGATATTAAGTTATTTATCTCAAGAAAGTGATCTTTCTAATCAAGGAAAATGAATTTATCAGGACGGCTTAGTTATATGTTGCTGTTGATTCATCATTTATTCAGATGATTAATTCTTAGTTGACGTGAAGTTAGAGGAAAGCTGTTTATTGGTCAGAGGATTATATTATACCAGTCACTGAAGTCGTTGATTGTTAATCTAGGCTAATCATTGAATATTTAATTGACATAGCTGAAAATTGACTAAAATGGGACACGTATATGGGCTTTTCCAGATTATTAACGTCCTATTACATCTTATTTATTTTCCCTTTTTAACATATTACTATGTATTTCAATATATCATTTTCAAAATTTTCTTTGATTTACTGTTTCCGTATTGTTAGATTAGGTAAACGACTTGACGTTAAATGATCTTGTTTTATCAGAAGGGGTTTTGTGGAGATTTTAGTAATTTCAATAGTTGAAATCATGAGTCAATTGAAGCTAGACCACCATGGAAAATCTGGAAGCACTGGACGGCCGTTTCGTCCTAGTATGGGACTCCTCAGCAGTGCGCGTCCACAATACCTTCCCCCGTGAGATTCGAACCCATGACTCTCACAAAACCCCTTCTGACAATCATCTCATTAGTGACTGACTTCAAGAGGAATTTCCTGGAGTTAAGCGCTCGCGCGCTAGGCTGGTAGATTTTGTTTTGCTTAAAGAAGGGTATCGATTTGACTTATTGATTAACAATTATTAATGTCAATCAAAGTGTTATGACATTTGTTTGAAGATTTTTTTTCTAAAAATACGAAATTAACATCAAAATATATGTGACGAATTAAGTTATTATAATTTTATACATACAGAAGTAAAAGCTTCTAATAATCAATACAATCGTTACCACTGCAATGAGTATATTGTTTGTATACAGTCGTTTTTGTATTATGCAAATAATACAAAAGCGGTCTAAGTTTTCCTGAAAAATTGTTTAAAATGGCTAATCAGATTCAAAGTAGCTGTTCGTCGATTATTAACCCCGTACTTCATGTGACTTGTAAGACTGACAAGATTATCATTGTGAATAATTCATTCGCAAACCAAAGTTTTGATTAGAATATCAAACAAAATTACTTAGATCTGAGATTTCATGTGTTTCTTTACTAAGATTTCCTTCACAACGGTAGTAAGATTTTTATAACTCGAGATATTTAGATTAATTGTTACTCTAATATGACTGACCATTGAAAGTTTACATAAATTTCCAGGTTCATTACACCGATTTGAAAGTTAATTTACATGAAATCAATACATTTTAATATAAAATCATGATTTCGTGAAATAATACTCACTAATTAACCATTAGTTTTCCGTAATACAATTACTAGTTAAAACAAGGTTATTACGTTCTATAAGTTGTTAGTAAGAATTTAAATCATCCTTTGTTCAGTCTTTGTCGGCATATCTACACCCTTTAGGGATTGACGACGTAAACATTCTGTCACAAGCGTTTTTACTGAATGAATAGATTATGTTCAGCAATGGGATCCAGGATGCGTGTCTCGCCCTGTTTAGAAACTGCCAGCTGGATGTAGTTATATTCCTGCATAAGAAATTTGTGATCAATTTATTAGTTTTTTTTTGTTTTCATCTAAGATAAAAACTGGAACACAATTCCGACTATTTTATATTCATATTCATAATTAACTAGAAAGTAAATTTATTGAATGATTAATAATTTGGAATATTTCTGTGTGATGTTTCTCTTTGTATTTTCTATTCAAGTGTTTGCTGTTGTTGTTGTTTCTTCTCTTCTTCTTCCTCTATTTCTTCTCTCATAATAACATAAACAATCTTGATTATAATTATGTGAAACCAATACTTATAGTTAAATTTCATTTTGTAGTTCCTCTTTAAAAGATCAGGGAAGAAAGAAATAGTGGGAACATTGAATAAAAGGAAAAACACTTGTAATTGATGACTTCCTTTTTTAAGCAAAATGTTCTAACTATCAATTTAGCCCATTTGAATATCTGATAGAAAAATGTGAAAATAAATAATGATGTGTATCTATATGCGTGCGGGTGTTTTCACTGTTCAGTTAGTTTATTGCATGTGAAGCTCTAACTTTCAACATATTTGTGTTTTTCATCCAGTGTTTTTGGAATGTATTACATTGGCAGATAACTTGAGATGGTTAAAGTAAAAAAATACTCCAAGGAAAATTGCACTGCCATATTTACTGGAAATATTCTCAAAAGTACCGCATATTTACTGAACACTGGGAAACGGCCTCATTTGTATATATTTATCGCTTGATTTCACCACGACAAAAATTACTCATTATGGGGTAATCGTCTTAGCATTAGCAACACGCACTTTAGGACTTACATGACATAATCGCTCGCATTGAAAAAGCAAATTATAACCCTACTGTGATGTGATTATTTGAAGTTGGAAAGTAGACAACTATATCTTTATACGGATTTTTAAGGGCGAATGTTTTCGTCCTGATACTTGAAAGCCGTACTTTTGATTACTTAAATTGATAATGGTATGCATGATTGAGGAACAAAGTTTAACCCCTCCTTGATACTATCAATACGTTAGGAGTCAACAAAATCCTCACAAACTGGTTCATTAGACAAAATTTTGTAGACTTCCAAAGCAAATGTGTCACGAATCGGTATTCAAGAATTTATGATTGAGGAAAATGAAATGGTCCAAAGTTTATTAATGACAAAGGCAACTATATAAATGTTATTTTTTTTAAGAATAATGTTCGAAATACCAAAATATGTGAATATTTTGCCTACTTTTGCCATACATGTCGTTATAATTATTATAAGCTTTAAAACAATTAGTCCCTTTGATAAATCTCGATAATGTAATAAGCTTTATTCAATATTATATTTTTTGGTAAAATATAGAATTCTTAGCGCAAAGTATCTCAACAAGTTTCCTTTTCTTATTTCTTGATCGATTCTGACAATAAATATTGAGTGATGACCAGTTAGATGTTAGGAGTTCGGTAATCGACATCTAAATAATGTTCATTCGTTTCAATGCATATTGCCAGCACCTTAATGTCGCTGATTGTACCTCTTTGTAGCATGTACAGCGAAAGATTGTAAATTTTTCATAAACGCGCCTGAATAGGTTGTGCGCTCAATAGACATAATGATGTGTTGAAACAAACAAGAAAACAAATAACTTGTCGAAATATCCAGATGGGAGGAACAGGTAGCTCAGATATTCAAGCAGGCCGCCGGTTATTCGTTCGAAATGGAACTAACCTATGATAAATATAATTTTCAAATATGTAAAAAGTATGTATATATAAATTACTTGTCATATAATATAACTTCCGTCGAAAACTTAACAACAACTTCAGAACTGTCGAAACTAAGGACTTAATTACTAACATATCTAGTTCATGATTCTTCTGTATTGCTTACCTGTGACTCAACACTGAATTAAAATCAGCACCTTCAGGTCGCATAATGAAAATGATACTTTTAAAAGTGAGTAAATGAAAATTCAACAGCACATATCTTCATGTTCAGTTAGTTTTTGTTATATATCAAAATACCTATCTGATGTCTACTTAACCATCTTAGTATGTACTGATTTATTCTCATTAACCATTTATGAATTTTAGACAGGCATTTATCTGAATAAAACTTAACAAACATTTGCTTAATGAATCCTGTTTCTTGTCAGAAAGTAAAGGTTCAACTGTCACTTCTAGTCTGATGTTAGGAAATGTTCATTTTAATTCTGGTTCTATTAAATGATTACTGCACAATAATAAACAACTTTGAAATATTTTTGCTTAGTTTACGTCTATTCTCTGAATGCATGTTTTTATGTAACTGGTATTTGTAGGATATAGATATCATCCTCTCTATCATATTCATCTAGTTGACTTCCTATTAACGTCATTATTATTATTGGATTATTTAAAGATTTGTAACTTGTATGTATATAAGACCTTATTTAAACAATCTTACATATTTTAGTCGACGAGATAATGTGAACAATATGATTATGTATAATAATCATAACAATAAGCACTGAAAATAGATTACTGATTTTTATTTGATGCCAAACCAACAAAATTTCTTGTGTATATTCAATGGATAATATAAGTATTAAGCTGAAAAACCCGACTTTTTGTGAGTGATTAACAATATCTTTGTTTTTTGAATTTATCCAAGAGTGAAATGGTTTAGAATTCTATGGCGAATAACGGCTTAAATTTTAAACAAATATCTTGTTGACAGG